AGTTATCCTGTGTCTTTTGATTAGAGCATTTAATCTATTTACATTTAAGGTTATTATTGATAGGTACTTATATTGCCATTTTTATTTCTTTTCTCTCTCCTCCTCCTTCTTTTCCTCTTCCTCCTCCTCCTCCCAACAATCCCTTTAACATTTCTTGCAATGCTAGTTTGGCGGTAATTAACTTCTTTAGCCTTTTATTTATTTATTTAGTCTGGGAAGCTCTTTATTTTACCTCCAATTTTGAATGATAGTCTTGCTGGATGGAGCAGTCTTGGTTTTATATCCTCCGTTTTCATTACTTTGAAAACGTCATGCCATTCCCTTTTGACCTGTAGAGTTTCTGTTGATAAATCAACTGACAGCCTTATGGGAGCTTCCTTTTAGGTAACTGCCTGCCTGTCTCTCTCTCGCTACCCTTAAGATTCTCTTTGTCTTTAATGTTTGCTATTTCAGGTATGTGCCTTGGTGGGGACATCTTTGTGTTCATCTTAATTGGGACTCTCTGTGCTTCTTGAACCTGTGATTTTTTTCCTTCACCAATTTAGGTAAGTTTTCTGCCATTATATCTTCAAACATTTTTTCTATCCCTTGCTACTTTCTTCTACTTGGAGTACCTCTATGATGCAGGTGTTTTGTTTCATGATATACTGTCCTCCTGCTTTTAATTTTCTTTTTGCTACTCTGATTGACTTTTTTCTACCTTACCTTCTAATTTGCTGGTTCAGTTTTCTAACCAACTATTAATTCCTTCCAATGTATTTTTTGTTTCAGCTGTCAGTCTTCATTTCTGACTGGTTGCTGTTCATTGTTTCTATGTCCTTTTTCATGAGCATTCTAAAAACCATTATTTTATACAGTTTCTGATAAATTGCTTTCCTCCATTTCCTTTTGTGTGTTTTTTTTCTAGAGATTCTTCCTGTTCTTTCATTGGGGGGGGGGGGCTATTTTTTTATTTCCCCACTTTTACTGCTTCTCTGTGTTTGTTTTGGTATATTGGGTAAGACTGCTATGCCTCCCAGACTTGGTGGGGTGGCTTCTTGTGGGATCCGTAGTGCAATCTCCTTGATCTTCTCAACTGTGTGCACTAGGAATGCCTCTTGTGTGGCTCATGTGAGCCCTCCTGTCGTATTTGGGTCTTGATTGCTGTTGCCATGTTCATGGGTGGGCTCAACCCTCAGACTTACTGTGAGGCTCAACCCTGACCACACTGTGCCAACTGTTATACAGGTGCTGACAGAACAAAACAAGACCAAACTGAAAATAATATGAAAACAACAACAAAAGCACCAAACCAAAAGAATTAGTATTTTTTTAAATATATATATATATATATATTATTGAATTTATTTTTGCAGAGGGAGAGGGATAGAGTTAGAAACATTGATGAATGAGAAATATCGATCAGCTGCCTCCTATACACCCCCTACTGGGGAGGTGCCTGCCACCAAGGTACATGCCCTTGATCAGAATCGAACCTGGGACCCTTGAGTCCAAAGGGTGATGCTCTATCCACTGAGCCAAACCAGTCAGGGTGAATTAGATTATATTTAAAAAATAAATTGCTGGGACCGGTTTGGCTCAATGGATAGAGCATCAGCTTGGAGACTGAAAGGTCCCAGGTTCGATTCCGGTCAAGGGCATGTACCTTGGTTGCGGGCATATCCCCAATAGGGGGTGTGCAAGAAGCAGCTGATTGATGACTCTCTCTCATCGATGTTTCTGACTATCTCTCTCCCTTCCTCTCTGTACAAAATCAATAAAATATATTAAAATAAATAAATAAATAAATAAATAAATAAATAAATAACCAAAAACAGAGAATGTGAAAAAGAAAAGAAACAGAATAAGAGCAGAAACAAAATAAAAAATAATGTTAAAATAATGAATAATAAAAAAAATAAAATGTAGAATAGGAAAAGAAAAACAAAAAAAGAAAAGAAAATGAAAATTAAAAGAGAAAAAATAATAGAAGAAAAGAGAAAAAAGAGAAGAAGAAAAAATCCTTTGGATCTGTTATTCGTGGCGTTTGCCGGCCCTTGTTCCTATGTTGTTGACTCTAGCCTGTGTTGTGTCAGTGCTGGGTCTCCTGAGAGACAGTGTGGTGCAGGTCAGTGCGAATCACTCTCCTGCCTGGCCCTGGGCATCTGACTGAAGCCTGCAGGCAGAGCCCCAAGTAGCTTGGAGGGCGGGGCCTCTGCAGCCCAAAGGGTCTCACGCCTTGAGTGTGCCTTTTCTGAGCTGCTCTCCCCTCCCCATGGACATGGACTCTAGGTGATGTCCTGGACCTGGCTTGGGTGGTTTAAACAGATCTGCATTGTGGGTGGTGCCCGTAGCTTGAAGGAGGGAGGGTGGGCACTTCCTCCTCTTCCAGTGCCTCAGCTCTGCCCAGTTTACTGGCAATCCTTTGTTGCAACCCCAAGCTAGAGGGGATAAGAGGAAATTTTAAAGTCAGCCCCACTTTGCACTCCAATCTTTCAGCGTGGCTGGCCCCCACTGGGTGTGCCCTCCATCCAGGTTCCAACCAGACCAAGTACCCCAGGGCCCCGCATCACCAACCCAGCCACAGATTCCCACCCTCCTCTTGCCTCAGGTCACAACAGGGCGGGGCAGCACCAGCTGTTGCACAGGTCGGGTTAGGGGTGCGAGTTCTCTGTGCTGGACCACACTGTCCAGCCCCATCTCTACCATGTGTTCTTCTGGGGAATAAAGGGTCCCTCAGATTCACTCCTGGGTGAGATTTCTCCAATGGCCCCTCCCACAGATGGGCACGAGCTTCCCAGGCTGGCTTGTCACAAAGAGGCGGCTCTTTGCCTAGGATGTGTGGTCTCAGCCTCCCAGGTGGACTCATCCCCTCGCCCCCTTTGCTCTGGGTTGGGATCCCTGCACAGGGCTGAGACCCACACTCCGGGCCAGGGGCTGCACTGCCACACCTCCGCTGGCCTTCCAGTCATGCAGCCGCTGCACAGCCTCAAGCTGGCTCACCCTCTCCGCGTCTCCTGTCCCCTCCACATCCCCGCCCACATGTCAGGTCAGCTGTCCTTAAACTGGCTTTTCAAGCTGAAGGCTCTGCAGTTGAGCTGTTTGCCGCCACTCTGCAGCCATCTTAGAACCCCATCCATGTTTTAATCTCCAGGGCAAAGCACCAGTGAAGGTTTGGGGTAAGAATCATGCTCTTCTGTGAGGTGGGAAGAGGTGAGGACCTCAACTTCCTTTCCATGATGTCCCCTCTGGAGCCGTTCCAGACAAGGCCTCCTAAGCTCCTGCATTGCATTCACCAGGAGACAGGCTGGGGCTGCTTATGCCCACTGTCTGCTGGCTACAAACCGCTGTCCAGGAACTTGTTTTTGCAGCACTGGAGGCAGGGTCATGCCCGTTGGGAATGAATGCCTTAAATATCCCGTGAGCCTGCAGGGTTTTCATGAGCCGAAGAGGAACTGCGTGCCCTCTGAGGCACCGCACGGGCCAGCGGAGCCACTTGCCACCCGACCCCACACTACCCCCAGTACCCCCACTCCCCAGAACTCTCTCTTCCATTTCCACCCCAGGTGCCCTGCATGCACACCCTCAGCCTCAGCTCGCACATCTCTCCCAGCACCTACCAGGGTCCCCTCCTCCCGCACTGGCCACAGGACCCTAAGAGGCCGCGCTGGACAGTGCTGGGAGCAGGGACCACATCTGTGTCCATGTTAACTCTCCACACCAGCACAGGTGGTACAGACTGCACACTAATGAAGGTGGCACAGACTGCACACTAATGAAGATGGCACAGACTGCACACTCAACTCCAGTGGTTTGCCTTCTTCCCCTGATCTGCCCTCACCTGCGGGGTTACCCACCGAGGAGTAACCAACTCTCCCCAAACGCAGTGGTACCACCGCCATTCCGCTCACTCACGCTCTGCCAGTAAGCCGGGCAGCCTGTGCTGGCCTGGTTGGCCATGGTCAGCTGGGGGTTGGCTGGGCCAGGGCCCAGGGAGGCCTCGTCTGAGTCAGCCATGCCTGCCCTGGCCTCTCACACAGGTGCGCCTGCCGCCACATGCTTCCCAGAGCGGCCGGGGGGGCCGGGCACAGGCACTGCCCAGTGGCTGGTCCCGTTGTTCTCAGTCCCCTGGCTCCTCCCGAGTGGGGACGGGCTGTGGCATGACGGCCATCCTCTGCAGCCCGCCCCGCACCCCACCAGCACCACCAGCACCACGTGGGGAGCTGCCCTGGCCACTCCCTCCAGGGCCGCTCCACCTGGATCTTCCTCGGTTCTGACCCCCGACTCCCCCTCAGGGCACCACTTCTCTCCCTTAAAGGGCCCATCTTGTCTCTAAGTCCTCCGCTCTGCCCTCTGGAAGCCCCCCCAGGCTTCGGGCCCCCAGGACCCGGGCTCACCCACCAGGAAACCCGGGTCTCACACGTCCCCAGAGCTCTCCCAGGTCACTGTCCTCACGCAGTCACGTTTAGCAAGCTGTTTGCAGATGTGACTCCGTGTGGAGCTCAGCAAGATCCTAGGTCCTGTTCACCGCCCTCCTCTCCCTCCGGGGCTCCGCGGCTCTTGGGCGGCCTGGCAGCGCCTCACTGCCAGGTGCCTGCACTTCCACCAGGTGCTGCCCCTGGAGGCTTCTCCTCTCAACCTTCAAGGTGACAAACACGAAGCAAGACAACCACAGGCCCCACAGGAAGTCACTGGTGTGAGCCCGTGACCACCAAGCTGGACTTAACCGCGACTTGCCTGCCACGGTCTCAGCCTCCAGGGTCAGTGCCAACGGGAGGGGCTGCTGGGCTGCACAGAGGTGCCTGACAACACGGACAATGACAAATCAGACAGGACACACGCAGGCCATTGGCAGCTGAGGTTTATTTAACTGGAAGCAGACAGGAGCAGGAAGTGCAGCGGCACCCGAGGAACCCATTTCTGGGGGGTGGGATGCACGGAGACGAGGCCTGGCCAGCACTCTGGGCCCCGCACGTCAGCTCCGGGGGGGGTTGGCGGCTGCAGCTTCTGCGTTGACCAGGTTAGCAAGTGATCTCCGACAGACCTGCGGGGAAACAGAGCTGGCAACGGCTCCCGCAGAAGAGACAACTCGGGGGTGGGAGTGACCTGGCCCCGCCCCGAGACACCCCGCACAGGCCACCCGACGCGGCAGCTCCGTCCTGCTCCCGCAGACGCTGGCACAGGGACCCGCGCCCACATGAGGCCATGCTCGCGGAAGCCCCGTAGCCATCAAACTTGCGGCTGGTGGGCCGCATGCCTCATTAACAAATGCAGACACGGTTCTTCACCGCATACACGTGTACCGACATCATGGCAGCCAGGGGAGGTGGGGACAAAGGAAGCCCCATCATAACGATGTTCACCACACTGTCACGCTAAAATCTAAAGTCCACTGAAAATCCCACACACAGCCTGCATTTCCAAAGTGGGGCAAGTCCAGTGAATTCGGACACAGCCATGGAAGTTACACTCACTGATTTATAATAGCAAGGGAATGCTCGTGTTATAATACTGAGGTGAAAAGATCAGCAATCAAAGCTACACAACCTGTAAACTCAACTCTGCCAGCAACACAAGAGCTGAAAAAGCAGAGGAGAAAAGTCACTCGAGGTGCTCAATGGCAGGCACCCACGTGGTTATTCTCTTCATCACACTTTTTATCAGCTTTCAAAGGCTCTACTAAAAATTACATTGCTTTTTTAAGTGGGAGGGGAATACCAATATAAAAACCCCACTAAGGGATCCTATATAATAAAAGGCTAATATGCAAAACAACCAAAAGGCAGAATAACTGTGATGCACACTGACCACCAGGGGGCAGATGCTCAATGCAGGAACTGCCCTTTGGTGATCAGTGCACTCCCACAGGGGGAGCACTGCTCAGCCAGAAGCCAGGCTCATGGCTGGCAAGCGCAGCAGCGATGGCGGGAGCCTCTTCTGCCTCCGCGACAACGCTAGGATTCCTTGGGAGATGTCCAACTGCCAGTCTAGGCCTGCTCCCCAAGGAGTTCCAGATTGCAAGAGGGTACAGCTGAGCTGAAAGGACCCCCCACCCCCGACCCAGGGCACGAATGTACTGGGTCTCTAGTTTTAAGTTAAAAAACAAATAGAAAAGAGTGTTGTGGGGTGAGTTCACAGCTGAGTAAATTTATAAAGCAGTGGGAGACAGGCCCAGGGCAATGATTAACTAACTGCCATGCCAGCCTGCACTTTCTCACAGGGTCAGAGCCGGCCTCGGTCACATTCCCCCGCTGCATCAGCTGCCCGTCCACACTGCCCCTCCTGGGACACATCTGTAGGAAGCCTGCAGGGCAGCTATCACGTTCAAGGCCCAAACTGGGATCTAAAGTACTCTCCACAGGTGCCCAAGGGTCACCCCGAGGAAGCAGGGGCACGTGGGAAGCTGTGAGGAGAAACTGGACCAAGGCCCCGGTGCCGGGAGCACCAGGGAGCCCTGCTCGGCCGGCTGGGCAGCGTCGCCCTCAGTGGGTGAGAGAGACACCTTGTCTGTTTACCACCCAGGACACCTGGCTGTCGCTGATGACAAGGCAGGCCTTGGTCACTCTGACTAAGACCACTATTGCTTTAAAGACAAGGTCTCCCGCCGCCCTGCAGCAATCCTGCGCACACCTGCACGAAATGGCTGGTTTGGTGCGGGCTCTCCCTAACACCCCTCCCGCTTCTGTGTGCGGGACAGAGGACATGATGGCCAATCCCAAGACGGTCACGGCACAGGCACGGTCGCTAGTGCCCTCTGCACTCAAAACGCAGGATGTCTTACGTTCCTTGCGGAGTAAAAGGTCCCCTCGTTGAGGCGAAGGCAGAGGGCACGGTACCTAGCTTGCTGCCCCCGCGGGTGGCCCAGCACAGGCAGTAGTGGGTCATGAGCTGCTCCAGGAGCTCCAGCTCGTCCAGGAACTCGAGGGACTCGATCCTGCGGAGTCAACACAGAACAGACGCGTGAGCAGGTAACAGAGGACAAGGCACTCGTGTCGGACCGCGTGAAAGAGCCAAGTAGTAGCCACGGCGCGCTTCCATGGCAACTCACTTTATTTATTTATTTTTTATTTATTTTATTTTTTTTTATTTTGAAGGAATATTTAATATTAACATTGTGAGTTATTATCTTTTGCATATCAAAGTTACACATTTCAAACAAATCGTCATTTATATTTACAGTATACAAATGCAAAGCATTAATTTCCCACTAAATCATCACTTTCTTAAAATGGTACATGTGATGTTATGAAATTAGCTATTAAGTATTCAAAATAGTGGAAAAGAGGTCCTTTCTTCAGTCTTTTTTTTTTTAAATATATATATATTTTTTTGATTTTTTTTTTGCCCCCCCTCCCTCCCTCACATCCCCTCCCTCCCCAGAGTTTTATGTCCATTGGTTGTACTTATGTGCATGTATAAAAGTCCTTCGGTTCATCTATTATCTCCCCCAGATCTTCCTCCCCTCCCCGCTGTAATTTGACGGTCTGTTTGTTGATATACTGTCTCTATATCTATCTTTTGGTTCATCAGTTTATAATGTTCTTTATTATCCACAAATGAGTGAGGTCATGTGGTGTTTTTGGCAACTCACTTTATTAAAAAGAGGGAAAAGCACCATAAGCAAAACCAAAAGACAAACGCGAAAAAGTATCTGCAACATAAAGAGCAGAGGTAGATTCCCTTGCTGCATAAAGAGCTGTTGTACTTCAATATGAAAAACGTCACAAGTTCATGTAACAGACGGATGGGTGGGGGGAAGGATGCAAAGGTGAAGGGGAACAGAGGCACACACTGCCACTTCAGGAGGTTACAGCCCCGGCTGGTGGCTCAGTTGGTTGGAGCATTGTCCTGTACACCAAAAGGTGGTGGGTTCGAGTCTGGTCAGGTTGCAGGTTCAAGCCCCAGTAGGGGTGGGTGCAGGAGGCAACTGATCAATGTTGCTCTCTCACATCCACGTTTCTCTCTCACCCGATGTTTCTCCCTCTTCCTCTCTCTCCTTGGACTTCTCTTCATCCCTCCTTTTCTCTCTCTAAAAATCAATAAAAGTTTGCCCTGGCCGGTGTTGCTCTGTGGTTAGAGTGTCAGCCACACACCCAATGGTCAAAGGTATTTCTGTTAAGATGAGAGGAAAAGTCCATTTAAAAATCTGAGAGCAGACCTTTCCTCCACTCCAATCACGAGGGCCACACACACGTCCCCCGTGGAGGCAGCCCGGGAGCTCGGCAGGTTGACCGTTGGAGTGGGTGCAGGTTGCCTGTTTGGGTGCAAACCCTATCCCAGCTGAGCTGCCGCGCTCCCGTCAGGCGGGTGGAGCGCTTCCTGTGTGTCTAGGGCAGCCTGGTTCTCGGGAGTCTGCGCTGGAGGACAGGACAGGGTGCCGTACCTGCTGACTTCGGCCTGCGGTAGCCTGCTGTACAGCTCCATCATGTTCACGGCCGACGCCGAATCCCACCCGTTGGACAGGAACCGCTCTTTCTGGTCCGCGGGAGGAGGAGGAGAGATGGGAAATGTGGGCACCGTGGTGAATGCCGGCGTCTAAGCACCAAGAACTCCTTACGTGCCTCCTCTTTCAAAAGCCCATCTGGCCCTACCGTCCTCCTTACTCCCCAACGTTCTACACTGAGCATGCCATGCCCATTTCAATGAGGGCACAGTGAGAGGTATCTCTTCAGCCAAAAAAACAACAACCCATGTTTAAAAAGATTCAAACGCACCAACTCCGAATATTTTAAAAAATAACTGTGGAAAACTGGACATGAACTGGGTGTTAGATGCTACGATGGAATCACTGCCAGTTTCTAAGCTGTAATCATGGTATCATCATTCCTATTGGTCTACTGGAGATTTATACTGTTGTATTTAGGAGGGAAATGATATACTATCTGGGATTTGCCTTAAAGTATTCCAATATCACCACCAGAAAAAGTTTGGAGGGAATGAATAGTATTTACAAGATATAATTATTGAAGCTGGCTGATGGGACACGGCTGTTGGTTTTACTATTCCCTCTATTTTGCCGTTGCTTGAAAAATGCACAATAAAAAGTTAACCAACAGGGAGCAGGAAATATGCATTTGATGCCAACACGGGCAGCAGGGCTGGCCTGCACTAGCGTGAGAACGGTTCCGCAGGAGCCCGGCCAGCAGGCGGCGCTCCTCCCGCCGGGCTGGCCCAGGAGTGAGGCGCCCTCCGCTCTCACCTGGGACTCTAAGGACTTGCAGGGCTCCACCCCCGCCAGGTCACACTGTCGCCTCCGCAGGTTTTCGATCATGATCTGCCCAAACCGGTCATCCATGTTCACCTGGGGAGGAAGAGCAGCCGGGCATCGCCATTAGGGTGTTCTCTCACACACGCAACATACAACGGCACCTACCTCCCACAGGGAGGATGTCTGCTGGTACCCAGGGCAGGCCACGCAGCCTGCGCAGTGCTGATGGGGGCATGAACCGGCGGCCCCTGGAGGCAGCTGGGCCCCCGAGAACCCGCCGGGGCCCGGCCTCTCCTGCAGGTGCTCCTGCCCGTGTGCGCGGAGGGGCAAGGGAGTCGGCTGCAGCGCTGCAGACCGGGCAGTCGGAGGGCTAGACGCACCAGCCGGGCTCAGTAATTCTGCACGTTCTCCCCGATGGAATCCCGCAGAGCCAGGAAGCAAGAAAGACATACATCCACTATGGGATGATCTCTAAGCTCTAAGAACTCCTGAAAAAAGCTTCAGGGGAATGTCTACTGTATTCTCCCATCTGCCTTTAAGGGGGGGGGGGGGAATCTACATTTACATATGCTCAGAAAAATTCTGGAACCTGGCAACGTTGCTTCCCAGGGGACAGGGCTGAGGTCGGGGGCAGGAGAGACTTACCTTGTCTGCCCTTCTGTACTATTCGATATATTTCTATTCTGCACATAGTGTGACTTTTGGATAAAAAAAAAAAAAAAAAAAAAAAAAAACTTGGGTAAAAAAACTCTAATTAGCCGAAACCAGTTTGGCTCAGTGGTAGAGCATCAGTGTGGGGACTGAAAGGTCCCAGGTTCGATTCTGGTCAAGAGCATGTATGATATATTGGTTGTGGGCACATCCCCAGTGGGGGGTGTGCAAGAGGCAGCTGGTCGATGTTTCTCTCTCACCGACGTTTCTAGCTCTCTCTCTCCTTTCCTCTCTGTAAAATATCAATAAAAATATATATATATTTTTTTTTTTAAAAAGCTCTAATTAAGCCCTAGCCAGTGGTCAGCAAACTCATTAGGCAACAGAGCCAAATATCAACAGTACAACGATTGAAATTTCTTTGGAGAGCCGAAAACTGATTTCTGCGCACGAGCCATGAAGTTGCAATCGCACTGTATGTGCGCACCCGCACGTGGTATTTTGTGGAAGAGCCACACTCAAGGGGCCAAAGAGCTACATGTGGCTCACCAGCTGCGGTTTGCTGATCACTGCCCTAGCCAGTTTTGCTCAGTGGATAGAGCGTCGGCCTGCGAACCATAGGGCATGTACCTCGGTTGCAGGCTCCTCCCTGGACTGGGCCCTGATCGGGGCACGTGTGGGAGGCAACCAATTGATATGTTTCTCTCACATTGATATTTCTCTCTGTCTTTCCCTCTCTCTTCCACTCTCTCTAAAAATCAATGGAAAAATATTCTCAGGTGAAAATTTTAAAAAACACAACCACACACAGTACTATCTGTTGTACTACAGGCACTTACCAAAAGTTAAAAAAAAAATGAAATTCTGTCCGCGCACAAATACCACAAGACATCGTCTATTGTGGCATGTATGCACTGTTACTCGGTCATATACACAGCAGCAAAGATTCACCATAACAGGCCAGGAGACCAGGGCTTTCTCCTGTGCTGCGTGTGCCCGGCTCCCGTGGCACAAGGCATCGCCCGGCATTTGTCACACACACGCCCTCGCTGCACTGCCGGGTGTGAGTCCCGGCCTGACATCTGGCCGCTGCCTACCAGTTGTGCTGTCCCCGCCTGTAAACCACGAGGACAAGGACTTCCCTGGGGGTTGCAGTGGGTAAAGAAGTTGACACGTGTGAAACTCACAGTATAGCGTTCACTACTCTCATCATCATTGTCGTTGTCATCCTCCACGTGGTTTTGTTCTTTTAAACTAGTTAGGAACTGATGTAAGGCACAGGAGGATGCGGGCGATTCTGTGTTTGTGATAAAATTACTGAGATAAGTTGTGGGGGATCAGAACCGTTTTGGGGACAATGTGGACAACATATTGGCACTGGCCCATCCCTAGGCCTGCTCCAAAGTGGCAGGGTCGCTGGCCTACACTGGCTGAGCCGCCCCTCCGGGGCAGTCGGACAGAGGAGCACACCAGTGAAGCCAGGTAACGAAGCAGCTGGCAGCCGAGATTGGGGAACACAGGAAGAGCGGATTCATTTCCCCCAGGAGTGGCACCCTGAACGCAGCAAGCGCCCTGGAATTACTCACACAGAAGAGAGAAGGCCGAGGAGGCCAGCGCTACGCCCACTCGCCAGTCACAGAGGGAGGAGGAAACCCACCAGGACCCACCTACACAGGAGCAGGGCTGGGTAGGTGGGACGTGGAGCCCAGGTCTAGCCCTGGTCTGCCCATAATCACGTGACTGTGAGCAAGACTTGCACTGCTCTCATCTCCATAAGTATAAAATAAAAAATAAGATAGACAACAAAATCAATACAACTAAACAAATCTGAAATAAACAGTCACATCAGTAAGCATGGCCTCGGTGCTTTCCACGTGCAGATCTCCTGAATGCCCACAGGCCCGAGGGGGCGTCTTCTCTTTATGAACAGAGAACGGGGCTCAGAGGGCACTAGCCGCCAACACTGCCTTCACAGCCGGGGGTGCCGTAAACACCACGATGAAGTCGGCTTTATCATCCTCCTTTCTCATTGAGGACACGGGCACAGAGAGGTTCTGTAAGGCATCCTGGCCACACAGCTCTGCAGTCACCTCCAGAGCAGGGATTCCCATCCCCTAGCAATTCTGCCTCAGGCCTCACAGCGATGAGATCCAGGGCCAGCTTTGGACCCAAGCTGGACAAGCCCAGAGCTCCGAAAGGACCCAGTGAGCAAACCCGCAGCCAGAGGACCAGACTCAGTGAACTGAGAAATCAGGAAATGTTACATTAAAATCCTGCATTTCTGCCCAGTGGGCATGGCTCAGTGGTTGAGTGTCCAGGAGGTCCCAATCAGGGCACATACCCGGGTTGTGGGTTCAATCCCCAGTAGGGGGTGTGCAGGAGGCAGCCAATCAATGATACTCTCTCATCTCATGTTTCTATCTTTCTCTCTCTCTCTCCCTTCATCTCTGAAATCTATCTATAATAATAAAAGGGTAATATGCTAATTAGACCATTAGACTGAATGTCCTTCTGGACGTTCCGGATGAAGCCAGGGCCAGAGTGAAGCAGCTCAGGTCCTGGTTGCCGAAGAGAAGATGGTGCCAGTGGAAGGAAAGCCTATTCTTGCACGAATTTTCATGCATCCAGCCTCTCGTAAAAATATATTTTAAAAAACCCTGCTTTCTAACTTCTGAAAAGCTGAGAACTCTGGCAACTGGAGGCCCACCGGCCACACAGTGTGACTGGCCGGGACTGCAGAGGCCGCTCTCTGAGCTGGAGCAGGGAGGCCAGGCCCCCTGGTCCCGCCTCCACAGCACTCATCTGCCAACTTCCTCCCCTTGTACCAGTGCCACCTCTGAGGGCAATGAGTTTGCCACCCCTCAGTGCAGGCAACCAAAAGTCCATCCTGGGCTCCGACTGGATAGGACAGTAAATAGTGATCAGATAGGAACGCTAGAACCTTCCATAAGGGCCAAGACAGCGGTTCCAAAAACGCCGCTAGGCTAAATGTTTGCAGGTAAAGGGCTCCGGAGCAGCGTTCCTGCGGGCGCTGCCTAACGGAGGAGAGGTTAGCGGGGCAGAAGGAAAGAAAGGCAGAAGCAGGTGCGGTGCTCCGAGGCCGGATGCAGGTTTCCTGTCCTTCCTCTTACCTGTTCGTAGCTGATGAACATGGCGGTCTCAAAACTGCTGGCTGCCCACCTGATTAGGTTTGCAGACTGCTCCGGAGTCATGTAGACCAGCACACACTCGGTCACCAGGAGGGTCGGCAACCTTGGGAGGAAAGAGCAGGCACGTGTTCACCAGCTGGCACTCTGGCTGGGCATGTGCTGCATGCTGGCAGGGCAGCTCCCAGCCAGGGCCCCGGCAGCTCTCTGCAAGCACGTGGCCACTCAGCACAGCCACATGTGGCACCGCCACGTCCGAGACATACTGCTCTCAGGTGAGCCGCGAGGGCGGTGTGTCTGGCTTGTGAAATGAGTTGAATGGCTGCGGCTCTCCCCGCCCTGCCCCGCATGGCGGCAATAGCAAACTGCAGGTCCCACCACTGAAGGGGAGGAGGCCATTTCCTCCCCGGAGTCTGGGTCAGTCTGCAGCATGCTTAGGCCCATGAACAGGAGCAAACAAGAAGCCTGACAACCCCAATCCTCTCTCTGGCTACACTCGGCAAAATAAACCACAGTGTACGTGGACCCACACTCGCTGGCTGCAGTGGGAGAGGCCCCTGGTGAATGAGGCAGCTCAGTGACAGGAGTCAGCCCCCAGCTGAGCTGCCTGTGTACACACACACACACACACACACACACACACACACGTACGCACATGCATGTGACCCCAAAGGATATTAGCTAAGCCTGGCTCACACTGTCAACTCAGAATCCTGAGCAACTGAACAGTGAGCTGTTTGAAACCTCTGTGTTTGGAAGGATTTGTTACACATGAAGAGTGACTGACAGATGCAGCAATACTGGCATGCATTTAACGGAATCTAGTTCTTTTTATATAAGCTCACACCAGGAAGAATTGAAAACATGATCAGTTATGGGAACCCTAATCAGAATACGCCGATGTTCACTTTGCCACACGCATGTGCAAAGGCATAGATATGGCAGTTTGCTGTATGCACTGCGCTGGCGTGTCTTTCTGTGACCCAAACTCTGATGTCACCATTTGGCGAGCAGTCTTTGGTCTGAGTTGCTAGAAAGACTGTCACTGACCAGCCGGTGTGCGGCTGCTTGGTGGGGCTACTTTGCAGATCTGTTTTGCCTGATGGCTCAGTTACAATGGCTACTTAGTCTGCAATAGTCTCTCCTATATGCCTGTGACTGCTCATACGTCTTCCAGCTCCGGCGTCCACGGGGACAGCCCCCAGCAGAGAAGGAGCTGAGCTCGACATCAGTCCTCCAGAAATTACATTCTACTTAGCATCCATTCTCACTAACCGGACCCAAGTTTGGAACGCAACAGGAAAGCAATAAACTGCTAGGGAAATACCTAAAAACCTTACTTTTTGAAAGGGAACACGGACTCAAAGAGGTTTTTAAGCAAACGGAAAACCCCACTCCTATTCAACAGGGAGCGGTCCGACGGGGACCCAGCGTGCAAGTCCTCAGTGTGGATGGGCTGCTGGCTTCCCGGGGCCGGCTCTCCGTCCACTGCCTCACTAACCTGCCCGGGGGAGCCAGCGTGTCCTTGAACATCTAGACTCACCTCTGCCAGCAGAGTGCACTACCTCTCGCAATCTGTGTGGCATATAAACGTTCCCCGGGTAGAGGGTGGGAGGGAGGACGAAGAGCAGGTGGGTCTGGACCAACAACAGCCTGGCAGGTGACAACGGGCCAAATAGGCAAACAGAAACTTCCAGACGCAGACCCGGCAGCCAGCACGGCATAAATGAAGGGTGTGCTGGGAAGACCCAGCTTTGACTGCCGACACTTTCGTCCCCTCAGCCGCTGACAGTTCACCTGTATTTGTACCTGTTCTCGCTCCTTTCTCCCCGCTCAGAAGAACGGGGAGCCTTCCTTTCCCCGGAAGGACGGTTAGCCTCGGTCCAGGCTTTGCAGCCCTTTCCTCTCTAGCAGTGATCCCCTAGTTGCTACTTTATCTCATCATTTGCCATTGATTTTTGCCTTCAATTTCTTCTTTAAAATACCATTCCCCTGACTGGCAGTGTGGCTAAATGGTTGAGCGTCGACCTAGGAACCAAAAGGTCACAGTTGGATTCCCTATCAGGGCGCATGCCAGGTTGTGGGCTGGATTCCCCAGTAGGGGGCGTGCAGGAAGCAGCCCATCGATGATTTTCTCATCACTGATGTTTCTCTCTCTCTGAAATCAATAAAAACATATTTTTAAAAATACCGTGTTTCCCCGAAAATAAGACATCCTCTGAAAATAAGACTTAGCGCATGGAAAAATAAGACATCCCCTGAAAATAAGATCTACCGCATCTTTGGGAGCAAAAATTAATATAAGACACTGTCTTATTTTCAGGGGAAACAGGGTAGCATTCCCTCGACCTTCCCTTCCCCTCAAGCCTCGCCCTGATTACTCCCCTACAGGAGACTGTGCAGACATGGCTCCCCACCACAGCTCTTTCCCCCAGCCTGCCCGTGGCAGCAGCCTGTGCGAGTCACACCTGCCCTCCTCTGGGCCCCACGAGCCCTCACTCTCCGCAACTTCGTGAACCTCTGCTTCACTTTAAAACACTCTGTGAAGTATGCATGTAACCATGAAAATATAGTATTGGTGGGGTTGATTTGACACACTAAACATATTACTCTACAACTTGACTTTTATTTACTCAGTATTATATTTTCGAACTTTCTCCATGTTCACCTGGGACATGCATTATATAGGTTATTCATCCATTTCCCCCCTGATGGACATTTGTGTTCAATTTTCTGCTATTAAAAACTGCCTATGCCCTTGCTGATTTGGTTCAGTGGTTAGAACGTCAGCCCTCAGAAGGAAGGGTTGTGGGTTCGATTCCCGGTCAAGGACAAGTACCTCAGTTGTAGACTCCATCTTTGGCCTCATCAGGGTGAGAACTGGAGGCAACCAATTGATGTGTCTCTCTCACATCGATTTTCCTCTCTCTCTTTTCCCCCTCACTCCTCTCTCTTCCACTCTAAAAATAAATAAATAAATAAATTTTTAAGAAATCAATGGAAAAAATATCCTGGGATGAGGATTAAAAACTAAAATTAAATAAAAACAGTGGCTGCAGGGAACACCCCCTGTGCATGTGCAGGGACACAGCTGAGGTGGAGCTGCTGGGTCACAGGGTGCATCTGTGCCATCTCACCAGGTCCTACTGAGCTCACGTCACCAGTGCTCAAACCATTCCTTTACCCCGTCACCTTGCCAACTCTTAATATTGCCAGGCTCGTACATTTTTGGCAACTTGATGGAAGCAAAATGGAATTTCATCTGATTACTAGTGTGGTTTCCGTGCCCTTGTCCTTGGATATTCTTTATTCTCTGTGCTGCCTTGTCTTTTTTTTCTTTCCATTTGTCTATAGGACTTTTTTCTTCTTTTTTTTTTTCTTCTTTTTTTTTTTTTACAGTAGCTGTTTTTCTTATATTCTCTATGCTAATCCTTGCTTTGTGTATTGCAATTATATGCTTCTATGCATACAATTACCCTCTACCAAGCTTTGTATTTTACAAAAGCAATACAGGTTATTCTGATGTGAAACAGACTTGAGAAACAGTGCTTCTAAAACGTTCAGAAAATTACTCAGGGTGGAGAGGAACTGAGACGGGGCCTGGGTGTCCCCCTGCACCGCCAACTGGCCTTCTCTCATGTTAGCAGGAGACCACACGTGTAAGAGGTTAAAAAAAATCTCACTGTGTGTTCATGTTACATTTCTTTAGTTTCTCTTCCAGTGTGGGTAAATCTCGAAGATCTGCTCCAATAATGGCATATCTCTTTGAATCCAACATGTGTCCATCTGCAAATACAAGAGAAGATCATTTCAACAGAAATAAATCAAGAAGAGATTGTTCATTCCAATGGGCAGGGCTTCCTCAAAATTAAAGTTGTTTTTCTCTATTATAAAAATACGTGCTCATTTTAAATAACCAGATAAGAGGAGAGTAAAAATTAACTGATATTACATTTCCCAAAACAACAGCTATTAGTGTTCCGTGTATAATGTTCCAGTTTTTTTCCCTATGTGCTTAAACTCATAGACACAATACAAACACTTTCTCTCACTCTTTCGCTCTTGCTCTCACTCTCGCTCTACACACACACACACACACACACACACACACACACACACAGAAAATGGGGCCACTCCATATTTGTTTGAAAAATGCTTTTTCCTGCTTCACAGTGCTTTCCTGGCGTGCTGCTGGGTGGATAAAACAGCTGACTGAGCCATCCTTCACACGTGGCATTCCCGGGTGGTCTCTACCGTGGGCCTGCGATACGCTCCTGTGCACGCATCCGGAAGCACCACCTCCTTATTTCTTTAGCGTGCAGAGCAACCTGCGTTGCGATACACACACAGGGATGCTCACCGCGGGTCTAGGACAGAGCTGCTGTGTCAGGGCACACACTCGCACTCAGTAGCAGTACGTCCTGGAGACCCAGTGCACACAGTGCCCACTGGCAACACTGCACTCTAGCCCTCAAAGCTGCTAGGGACTGGATCTTCATTATTCCGCCCACCAAAAGGAAACGGTAATTATGCGGCATTTAGTGCGGAGAGGCACTAATTATCACTACGCAGGCAGTCATACAACAACATATAAATGTGTCAAATAAACAGGTATACCTGGCATTACACAGTGCTGGTGTCGAATAGACTTCAATTTAGAAAAGTATGTTATGTATGAGGAGGGCAACAAGTAAACCTGCTTCACACTGGTGCTGAGGGGCAGGCTCTCTAAGTGCTGTGCCAATTTGTAAGCTATTGCCTTTGACAGAAAACAGTTCAATCGCCCTGGTCAGGGCGCGGGCAGGAGGCAGCCGATTGATGTGCTTCTTTCAATCCAAGTTCCTTTCTCTCTCTCTCTCTAAAAACCAATGGAAAAAATATCCTCAGGTGAGGATTAACCAAAACAATAGTAAAATAAAATAAAGCTGGAGGGAAACGCTTGAGTGCTGGGGAAGGAGATGACAGTGGGTGAGGCCCGTCAGGCCTAAGGCAGCGGAGGGGACTGAAGCGGCCACTCACCCCTCTGCAGCACTTCCCTGCAGGAGTGAGGCCGCAGCTGCCAGATCTGCTCTTCCAAGGAAAGCAGGTTTTCATTAAAAGCAGGTTTTCGACTAATTTAAATATTTTTTTTAAAGACTTAAGATTAGGGATCTATGGACATCTAGTAAGTCACAAATAGATGTTTTAAAATCCTTCCTGGTAACTGTGAAGGAAGTGTACATGGATCAGAAGTAGACATTGTGTGACATCACGTGCAAGGGTGCACACATACACATGCACACATGCACGTTCCCACACATGAACGCGCGCGCACACACACGCCATCTTTAAAAAGGAAAGGGGGAAGCAATAAGATGGCGATCTGGCCCATACAGCACCACCTGGGGGATACTTGCCGCCTTGAAGTGAGTCCTCTGAATGTAACTCTAAAATGGGCTTTGACAGGAGAGGCCTGGATCTACAGGAGGTGGAAAGAGGAGAGAGGAGTCAGGCGGCTTACCCGCTGCACAAACGCAGACCCCACTGGAAAAGCGCCAATGCCATGGCTGCTGCGGTGGGGACTCTGTCCAATTCCCTGTGGCCCGAGGCACCTGGGGACACAAGTCTCGGGCAGGTCAGCTAAGGTCAGATCACCCTCAGGATCTGAAGCCAACCACAACCCGAGCGAGACAGGCTGTGTCGCCATCCCTAGCTGTCCCCCCTTCTCAAACAAAACCCTAAAGACGCCTACTAATTCTCACAGGTCACTCAAACAATTTACTTACTCAGACCTAAAGTTCAGTAACATGTATGTGATAACGCCCCCAATCAAGACTATGAAAAACATCAGAGCGCCAATCTGCCGGTACCCCCGCCGGCACACACAGACGCGTGCCTGCCAGCTCGGGGGGCGCTGGCTTGCACTGCGCCTCCTCACACCCACTCGGAGCTCCAACATGCTCCGTCCTCCTCTGTACTTCTCGGAGCATCAGAGCTGCCATAATCGTCCAAAAAGCACATTATATGTAAAAGATTCTTTTCTACTTGGAAAGGGTAAAAATCTTATTTTCATTGGATAAAGTAGAAAAAACGAAGTTTGAAAAGTATTTCCAGTTTGTGAGGATTAGGCATTTCTAAAGGACAAGCTTAAGCTTTCATGCTCATTACATTTTGTAAATGTAAGAACTAGGATTTTGTTTCAGTGGCTGATTTAAACAGGAGGGAGGAAGCCTGGGTAAACACCATTAAGGAACATTGACCTTGAGCTTGAGGTCAAGGTTTAAATTTCAGCTCTACCTCCTGCTAGCTGAGTGACCTTGGACATATTAACCAAGTTTCTTTGAGCCTCAGTTTTTCCATCTGTAAAAGGGGCTAACAGCACTTAACTCCTGAGTCTGCTCTGAGGACTGGGTGAGACAACCCAAGGTGGTGCCAGCAATGACAAGCTCTCAGCCAACCTCAGCAAACTCTTTGTGTACAAGTCTGCAAACTCTCTGAAACCTGGAATGGCCCCACAATAGCTCTTATACACTGAGTGGCCAGATTATGATGATCTTTGAATGCATAATAATCTGGCCACTCAGTGTACTTCTCTTGAGCACCTCATTTATTTGATATCAAAGATACTATAAATCGTATACCTGATCAGTTTTCCCCTTTGCCCTGGCTGATAGGGCAAATAGGTGGTTGATCTCCAGCAAAAGTCTAGAATACTTTTGGTACCCATTTGAGATACAAATACACTAAGTAGCCAGATTATTATGCGTTCAGAGATCAGAATAATCTGGCCACTCAGTGTATAAAAAGTCACTATAACTTCAGTCATGTTCACTCATTCAAAAAACACATACTGCATGTCTACTCTGAACCAGTTCCTTTCTCTGCCCTGGGAATAGAGCGGCAAACAAAATGCACATGAGAAATCAAAGTATCACACTACGCTCCGTGGAGAGCTGTCCCAGGAGAGGAGGTGCTGCATTTTGAAGATTGCACGGACATGCTGGAATGGGGGTCCCAGGGCAAGAATGAAGGCGGGCGGTGGGCAAAGGAAAGCAGTGCACGAAATGAGGTCCCGGCAACCCACAGGCCCCCTACTGAGGCTGGCTCTGAATTCTCTCTTCAGAAAACCACACCTACCTGATGCTGTGCACCTTTCTCGTGACTATGAGTGGAAAGTCGACTTCAAAATATTTATCGGGGAGAAGATCTTGATCCTGAGGAAAAAAAACACACAGAAATCTTTAGAATGACGTATTCATGCCTACATTTACTGGTCACCTTCACGGAGCAAGTGTGAGGCCCCGAAGAGCAATGTGCACCTAGGATTTTAAGCCAGGGGAATGATACGGTCAGAAATGCATTTTCCAAATGGTTTTGGACTCAGCATGAAGAACAGATGGAGGGAAGTTAGGAGGCCATTGAGGTCATCTATGCTTTAACCCCCTCACACCCACGTGCACCAACTTGCCCTGCAGAAACACAGAACTACGTATTGTGAGAGAGACAGGAAGAGGAAAGAGAAGAAAGCTCTGGCTCGCAGAGCCTGGTGGCAGCTCTGGTGCAGAAAGGGCAAGGCCGGCCCTTCTGGCTGAGCAATCGGGCGGGAAAGAGGACAGCGCATGCAGAGCCGCATGAGACAGAGAACAGTACACGCAGCGGACAGGCCCCTGGGCTGCATCACAGGGGCAGAAATCACGAGCAGGGACCCCAAAAGGCGAGTATCGGAATTGTGGGATCCAGTCTTCTCCCACCCACATGGAGAATGGCCCCCAGTTAAAATCTCAGGGGACCTGGTCTGGGGGATGAGGGGAGGGGAGGAGGAGGAGGCAGAAAGAGAAAAAAATGGACAACAGATTTTACCCTTCAACACACAGTATCGCTACAAACCAAACCATCACTCAAATTTCTACTACACCCTGTCATCTGCATCTCCTGACCTGCCTACCAGGTGCAAAGTCCCCATGGGACGCAACCTACAGCACCCTGTGCCGTGCTAACTGCCTCAACGGAGCGTCCCGTGTCACTGCAGCCATGTCTCTGAGCAGCTGGCACCGGCAACAGCGACCGTGCACCTGCCACTCCCACTCCACAAGGAGCCCACCTGCCCGCACACGCATGCAGACCCGGCGGCTCCGCTGAGGCGGCTGCAGACACTAATGACCCCCTCCCCTCCATATACCTCCCACCCGTACGCCCTGTGGGACGGACAGAGGGGTGTTCGGACATGAAGGCTGTGAGGCCGACAGGGAGGACAGCTCTCCCCAGCGCTGAGGAAATCAGTGCCGCACATCAGGTCCTGAAAACGCAACTTGTAAGGAAATCAAAGGAAACCACTTTTGTTGTAAGTTTTTTAAGATGCATAAAACCCTTAAATTAATCTAGTAGTTGTTCCCCTAGTTCCGTGGTTGGCAAACTGCGGCTCGCTAGCCACATGCGGCTCTTTGGCCCCTTCAGTGTGGCTCTTCCACAGAATACCACGGCCTGGGAGAGTCTATTTAAAGAAGTGGTGTTAGAAGAAGCTTAAGTTTAAAAAATTTGACTCTCAAAAGAAATTTCAATTGTTGTACTGATGATATTTGGCTCTGTTGACTCGAGTTTGCCGACTTCTGCCCTAGGTTATTCCTAGCAATACTGTGATGAAGGGTAAAATGTAATTTTAATAAAAAAGCAAAACAAAAGATTTTTATCAAATGTTACAATGCAAGAAGAGGAGGAAAAAGGAGGAGAAAAACTTCCATTTTCTGGTGTGCAGAACATGCAGACCTATCCCAGCACATGGTGGGTTTGGGTTAGTGAACTGTGTGTGGTGTGTTTTCTCCGTGTAGGAAACAGGCTTTCCGACATCCAGCCAGTCCATGGCGCCCGCGCCGCGATGCCTGCAGCTCGAACGGAATTCAGTGGTGCCCTCTGTGTCCCTTCTTTGCTCCCATTTTTCCCTGCAACGTGGTATGAAGTATCTTATCCTTTTCTGCGAGTTCCAATTCGCCTTAACTCTTTCGATGCTGTGACTGTTTCTGTAAGAGTTAGTTCAAGCTAATGAAATAGACCTCTTTGACCAGATGAGCTGGTCTGTCATGTCTTGTAAACAGCAGCACAGGCTTTTACGAGGCAGTCCATAAAGGTTGCTGAAATTTTGCCCTTTTAAATGAGAGAAAGAAGAAATGAAGGAAGGTAGCCCAGGGTCCATCTTCTACACGACTTGTTCCTTTTTATTTTCTTGTTTTTGTTAATCCTCACCCAAGGATATTTTCCCATTGATTTTTAGAGATGGTGGGAGGGAGGAAGGATGTGGAAGAGAGGGAGAGAGAAACATAGATGTGAGAGAAACACATCCACTGAGCCAAATCGGCTAGAGCAGGACTTGTTCCTTTTTGAAGAGCTGCCCACGCACTAGCTCACTGGATCGTGGTAAGATTCTGAAGAGAGGTCGCTGTGGAAGGAAAGCTCCTAACATGCACACCTAGACCGTTCACAAAACAGACACCACCTCTCTCACTTTCATGCTGTGGCAGGTGAGGCTGCAATTTTTTATTTTTTAAGATTCAAATCTTTTTTTAAAATATATTTTTATTAATTTCAAAGAGGAAGGGAGAGGGAGACAGACAGACAGACAGAAACATCAATGATGAAAGAGACATGTCGATTGTTTGCCTCCTGCATGCCCCCCAACCGAGGGCTAGGGATCAAGCCTGCAACCAAGGTACATGCCCTGGACCGGAATTGAACCCAGGACTCCTTAGTCCACAGGCCGATGCTCTATCTACTGTGCCAAACCAGCCAGGGTGAGGCTGCAACTTTTTTTGTTTTTTAATATATATATTTTTAATTTTTATTTTATACATATGTGTCCTTATTCCCCCATAACTCCCCACCCCCCCACTTATGCCCCACCCCCTTGTTGTCTGTGTCCATTGATTAGGCTCATATGCATGCACACAAGTCCCTTGGTTATCCCACCCTCCCCTACCTTCCCTGAGGTATGACATTCTGATCAATGTTTTTCAGACTCTGGATCTGTTGTTGTTCATCCGTCTATACCATTCATTATATTCCACAAATAAATGAGATCATATGATATTTATCTTTCTCTGCCTGGCTTATTTTGCTTAACATAATGCTCTCCATCTCCTTCCATGCTGTTGCAAATGGTAGGAACTCCTTTTTACCACAGCGCAGTATTCCATTGTGTAGATGTACCACGGTTTTTTTATCCACTCATCTGCTGATGGGCACTTAGGCTGTTTCCAAATCTTAGCTATGGTGAATTGTGTTGCTATGAACATAGAGGTGCATATATCCTTTCTGATGGGTATTTCTGATTTCTTGGGATATATTTCCTAGAATATATCCCATTGGGTCAAATGGAAGTTCCATTTTTAGTTTTTTAAGGAAACTCCACACTGTTCTCCACAGTGACTGCACCAGTCCCCATTCTCACCAGCAGTGCATGAGGGTTCCTTTTTCTCCGCATCCTCGCCAACACCTGTAGTTTGTTGATTTGTTGATGTTGGCCTTTCTGACAGGTGTGAGATGGTACCGCATTGTTGTTTTGATTTGTATCTCTCTGATGATTAGTGACTTTGAGCAGGTTTTCATGTCTCCTGGCCTGCCTTCTGTCTTCTTTCAAAAACTGTCTATGTATTTAGATCAGTTGCCCATTTTTTAATTGGGTTATCTTCTTTTTGTGAAATTGTATAAGTTCCCTGTAAATGTTGGAGATTTCAACTTTTTATTCTGTGAGTCTCTGACACTCCACTCCAAGTAGCTCGTATGTCACAGGAGGAGGGGGACACCCGACTCCACGTGTAACTCCCAGAAGGCAGCCAGGAGCAGCCAGGAACCACTCACCTCAGAGGGGACCAGCAGGGCCGACCGCTTCACAAGCTGCGAAGTCGGCACTGCCTCCCTGGAAGGTTCCACTCGCCCTTATTCTTCCTTTGTGACGAGGCTGGGCCTTCCCTGCCTGTTCTTGCTTGCTGCCTGAAGACAGAACCTGGGCCCAAGAGCCCACGGCCGAGCTCACACAGTAGGGCGGCAGAAAGCCTGTGACTCCCGCCATGCTTCTGCGGGCGCGGCCTGGACCATGCAGGTGGAAGCTGCAGGAGTCAGCCAGACCAGTGGACATGGTTTCCCGCCCCTTCAGAGAAGCGCATATGCCTCTAACACAGGCTCGGCAGACTTTCTGCAAAGAGCCAGCCAGGAAGCAGTTTAGCCCTTGCAGGCCCCATGTGCCTGACGACTGGACGCGGCGGTGCTAAAGCAGCCGAGGAGATGCGCCCCCTGGGCGGGCTGCGCGCGGATAAACCGAGTCACCAAAACAGTGGCCCATGCGGCCCGGGCTCTAAAAGCGCAAACAGGCATCGTTCTGTGCTTTGCAAAAAGAGGAACTTTCCATTTTTAAAAAACTCCTTAGAGCAACAAAAACACCTCCACAAAGAACGCTCAGACGCTGTGCTATTCCTCCTCACTGCTGACGGACAGTCTCATTCCCGGGAGGAGCACAGGAGCCTCGGCGTACCTCGCTCAGAAATAAAACCTGATTTATTTACTACTGACCCACCTGCAAGACAGGGGAAATACAACCAAAGAAACCACATACCAAGTCCAAAGGTGGCAGGCCCAGCGGAGGGATTTCTCCAGAGGCCCCTGTCCAGCCCCCGCCCACTCCCTCCACTGCCTTGTGCCACGTCGTGGCCACTGTGTTAGGGACCCCTGTCCACACCCCACCCCCCTCTCTCCACTGCTTTCTGTCCACTGCCTTGCACCACGTTGTGGTCACTGTATTAGAGGCACAGATGACCCACAGAAAAGATGCCTCCAAACGAGCACGGGGCTGCACAACGGAGAGAACAAGGAAGCGGAGGTTGAGCTGTCCCACGCTTCTAGCCACTGGCTGGCCAATCTGGAGAAGACGCAGCTCTTGCAGCCGGCCCGGCTGTGTGCACCCGCTGCACGGAGCTCTCACGGACACTCATGAAGTCCTGCTTGTAAGAGCGCTTCGCCATGGGAGGTGCTCTTATCTGAGTGGAGGCTGCAGGGCAAGCACTCCATCCTAAGACCAAGTAGAGACCGCTGAGTTCTGCCCCAGGAAAGAAAGGCTGGGAGCTCCAGGACGACAGACCTTGCCAGGTGAGCTGCTCTGGGACCAGACATGCAGGCCAGGGTATACCACACACTCTAACTTATCTGTGTGTCCGTCTGCAAGGAATCTAGAGGGTGCAGGTACCCCCGTGACATCTCAAGGAGAACCAAGAAAAATCTATACAACCTAAAAAAAGGAAATGCAACCAGTGAGGTCTTTGTAGGGAAAGAGTTTGGGGGTAGAATTCCAGCCCAGGCATCAAGACCAGCATTGCAGTCGTGGCTCTGCCACTGACTAGACCCGAGCCCCCTTTCCTGTGCGTGAGTGCACCTGCTCCCGGCCCTCACAGGGCAGTTAAGGGATCCAAAGAACGGCTGCGAAAGGCTCTGCGTCACATCACCGTCACCCAGCTGTGCAAGTCTCCAAATTATACAGACAGTTATGCCCACAGTAAAATCCTAGCGTCAAAATCACTAGTACACGTGCTCTTTGTCTCGGCAATTCCACTAACAGGATGTTTTCTCTGGTATGTTTCCGTACGTTACACGAATTTTCATTAATGCCCTGCTTGCAACAGCAAAAGCTGAGAAACAACCCACACGTCCTTCACGGGACCTGGTGCGATGAAGCCGGGGCTGATGGTGGCTGGGGGCATGGAAGGGCTGGGCCAGGGGTGTAGACGGGCTGTCACTGCATCCATTTTAATATATTTTAAATTTTTTGAACCAGGTGAACATCTGCAAAAATAAATGCAAACAACTGGGAAAAGAGGTAGGGAATTTTAACTCACCTTTAATATCCAGAAGGTGGTATCCATCCCAGCCCCAAGGTTTAAAATCTGACAGTGACATTCTGTCTTCTGTAGGAACGCCTTTATGAGCTGACTGATGCCTTGGACTCGAGCAAAATATCCTAAGGAAGAGACAGAGGCACAAGCGGTCCCTCAGTGTCGACAGCAGTGGCTCTGCACAGCCCCCAGAGGAAGCAGCAGCCCCTCGGTGGTGAGCAGTGGCCTCGCAAAGGCCCCAAAGAGCACACGCGAACACCCCACCCGCCTCCTGAGGGGTCGGCAGGGGGCTGCAGACTTCACCTGAGTCAGGGCAACTTTGAGGTTCTCTCCCTGTTTTTCTTAAAGCTGTCTGAAGCAAACTGAGCACAACCTACCTACGTAAGGGTGGAATCAACTATCTATCCGAAGAGAACTAAAATGTCCTATAATCTTACTTCAGGAAGACAAGGGTTTTACTTCAAATGTTCCTCTGATCTAAATGTTCCTCCTGAAAATGACCTCTAGGAATTTGGCCTCTTGAGCTTTTGCACAGTGAGCGTGGACCCTGGAAAACACATAGCCTTTCTGCACAGTGGGAAGCACTCTCCGAGTGGGTTGCAGGTCCCCAAACGAGACATTCAAACCCAGAGAGAGGGGAAGGGAGGGAGGAGGCTGACCAGTGCCAGCGAGCCAGTCAGCCTGACAGGTCCCTGCCTGGGGCACTCACAGGAAGCCTGCCCGGAGGCTTGTGAAGGGAGGGAGTGGGCAGAGCCCACTCAGCCAGGCTCTCTGCAAGCTCACCCTCTGTTCAAAGCAAACACCGAGTCCTTATCCTCAGAAATACCCACTTAAAATGTCTGCATTTCTTATGGACCCTCAGGATCTTCAGGGCCAAGACTCCCTGCTCACACAGGAGCGACTGTCATGTGATCAACTTCTCAGTCAAATCCTTTGACTTGCTGATGGTGTCAGCAACCATTCAGTAAGGCAGCAAAAAGTAATACCTATGTAACGGGCACCTCACAGTAAAAGGTATATAAGTGGCTTTTCAACATACGATCTTCAACCTTACCCTTAAGTAAAAGGAATAAAACTAAAACTACTCTACGATAGCATTTTCAATATCAGATTAACAAAGATTAAAAATTTCACACTGAGCCTTAGCCAGTTTGGCTCAGTAGACAGAGCATCAGTCTGAGGACTGAAGGGTTCCGGGTTCAATTCCGGTCAAGGGCATATGCCCAGGTTGCGGGTTCGATCCCCAGTAGGGAGCATGCAGAAGGCATCTATTAATGATTCTCTCTCATCATTGGTGTTTCTATCTCTCTCTCCCTGAAATCAATAAAAATATATATTTTTTTAAAAACTTCATACTGATGGCCAAGATTTGATAATTACTAAAATTGATCCACATGTAAATCTACTTTTGTATGGTTTGAAACTTTCCATGATAATAAGAGTATTTTTAAAAAATAAAAATAGAAATTCTTTCTAAATAAGAAGTTTCATAATACGCTTGTTGGTGAGGAAGTTAGGAAATGAGCACTTTCATATACTGGAGAGAGTACATCCTGGAACTCTGTTCAAGAATGAATCCCCAGCCCACCAGGCGTTTACTCAGTGGTTGAGCGCTGACCTATGAGTCAGAAGGTCACGTGTTCAGAAGGTCACATGTTAGATTTCCGGTCAGGGCACAAGCCCAGATTCCCATCACATTCCCAGTGTGGGGCGTGCAGGAGGCAGCTGATCAATGATTCTCTCTCACCACTGATGTTTCCTTTCCCCTCCCCTTCTGAAATCAATACAAATTCATATTTTTAAAAAACAATGAATCCCTGGAACTTCAGACCACTCAGCTGATGAGAAGATGCTGGGGAGAAAAAGGGCCACTTGCCTCTGTTAATTTCCGGGGCCTTCCTCTCTTTGCACAGCCTCACAAAGTGCTGGAGGTAAGGGTCATCCCAGTAGCCAATGCTCACTGCAAACCTGAAGGAATGAAAGAGAAGGCATGTGGGTAAAGATCTGTGTATATTCTCACCAAGGTTCACAGCCACGTTCCCAGGAACCAGGTCAAGGATCCAGAAGGAAATAATCAACCTCAAAGGCCACTAACCGCCCATGCAGTGCTCCATGACACACTGGACAGACTCACCATCCCCTTATATTCACACACACTTCCCTTCACGTTTCCTACACTGGCCATTTCTCACCCCTGTCTTTCCTCTTATGACTGATTCCTTCCCCAGGGCCTTAAATAGCAAAAACCTCACCCCATCATCACAACAATTTATTCACTCTGCAAACTCACAGGCCAAAGCTTTTGACAGATAACTAAAAAGTTCTATGTCGAGAGAAAGGAAATTCAGAAATATTTGGCAAGCATCACTAACGGCCTCCGTTTTCTCCTGACTGCATTTTGTGCCCGTCATTTCACATCCCTTATGGTGGTCACAGTGGGGAGACCAGGAAGAAACAAGACAACTGCACCTTGCACCATGCTCTGGGGTCTAACCTCTCTCTACCCCAGTCTACACCTACACGGGAACGTTCTAGTGTTCCGAGTCTGGGAGCTGATGCCGGATTACACTGGAAGCCTCCTGGCGAGCACAAGTGGCACCAGCCTAGGACCACTGAGGAGTCATGGAAGGAACCTGGGTGCCTAAGACCCTGAGCCTGCTCTACCTCCCCAAGGACATTGGTGAGGGAATTCTTCACCATTTGAGCCAGCCTGAGCCAGGCTGGTGTGACTTTCAGCCTAAAGCATCCTACCTACTTCCGAGGAATGCACTCGATTCCATGTTGCTTATAAGGAAGATGACATTTAAGGGTTTTGGATGTGTGTGTCCCAGGTAGGTTCCAAGCTCCCAAAAGCAGATGCTATCGCTTTGCTTTTCTTTCTATCTACCGACAAGGTTTACTGCAGCCCTGACTGCAGCAGGTGCTGATTCTGAGAAAAAGAGTCCCCCGTAATATCTCACATTCATGTTTACATAACCACAGACACTTATAAGAAAATACCTGTGTTCAGCTCGTCAATACAGCCACCCAACACAGAAAACACAGTCCTCGCTAAGAACACCACTTGCTACAAGCCTTGACTATCCGAGGAAAACACAGTACAGGCAGTTCCATAGGACTGGACGTACATCATTTCATTTGGTTATGTCGCCATCTCCCACTTATTTATTAAAAAAAAAAAGTTCCATCATTTCAACATATGTACATATGTGCTTTATGTTTTTTATTATTTATTTGCCACAAGAAAAGGTCAGGAATTGTTCTCTTTCTTTTAAATTTTCTTTACTGTTTCACTTCATTGCTGCTGTGCGTGTGCTCCATGTGAGGGACGCAGGTGCATATGTAGGTGGGTTCCGACTTACGGTGAAAATCGAGTTACATTGCACCGTAGGAACGGATCTCCTACTATACTACAAGAGTAAACTTGCTCAGTGGTCCAAAAGAGTATTACACAAAATATCATGAAATCAACTGAATAATCTGAAAACCTGCAGTTAAAAGATGAAGTAGAATGCAGTATAAAACAGGAAACACCCGTGTGCGTTACACACAGAAAGGGATGAGACTTCTGTGAAGATTTTGTTCCCCGTCAGTGTTGGAGGAAGTAAGTTTCCTCACGGAGTTTGATGAACAGATTTCAAAGGATTCATCTAGTGCCATCTAGTGGTCACTGCCTAGTGATGAGAACACCATCGAACGGTTAAAGCTAGCCTGGCAAACTTTTGGCTGGCCGACCACATGCGGCCCACAAGGAATATTTTTGCAGCCCAGCCAATATAACGGTATGTAAGAAACGTTTTCATAAAAATTTCATAACGTTTCATAATTTTTACAATATTTTGTTATACATAGTCTCTTATATAAAAGGCCGGGGCCGTCACACCATAATGCTGTCAAACCAAATGAGCAGAGCGGCTCTCGCAGCGGGCAGGGTGGAAATGAGCTACTAGCTGCGGAGAGCTAGAGGGTGGAGAGCTAGAGGGTGGAGAGCTAGAGGGATGGAGAGCTAGAGGGTGGAGAGCTAGAGGGATGGAGAGCTAGAGGGGTGGAGAGCTACTAGCGGCAGAGGGCGGGCCGGCCAGCTGAGGCAAGTGGAAGCAAGTGACCCACTCGCGCACGACTTTGTGCGCATTGGGCCTCTAGTTATTAATAACGAAATACAATGTTTGCGAATGACTTATTACTATAATCATGTTGCATTTATTTCTCTTATGTACCAGCATACCATTTCCCTCCACTAATACTAGCAGCGATTATTTTAGAGCCGACTGACACATCATTAGTCTTGGGCTGACTTGTTTGGTGTGCACAACAGGAAATATTTCGCTTTCAGAGAACAAGAAAAATAGGTTTGTTTGCGTTACGCTTGTTAATTTGTGCAGTTATTCAGTGTCTGGTAAGTTAATGTTCAATAAAAAATATTAATTTTTATTAAAATGTTCTATTATTTTATGTTAACGATGACTCGTTTATTTCAGCCCTTTGTATTCAGCATGTCTCTATCGAAATAAACCTACGTAAATAAAATAAAATTTAAAAAAAGAAATAAACCTACGTTTCTATGAAAATTGAAGCTTTTGTTTTTTGCAACCCACATACACGCAAATCTTGTTTACTTGGCCCATGTTAGCCTTGGAGATTGACATGCTTGAGTTAAAGGGTTGGAAGGAGCCTTGGAAATGATCTGTCGATCCCAACATCCAGTGCAAGAATCTTTTCGTTGGTATCAAGCCACGCACTCCTCTGCAAAGCCTCTGCGGGACAGCTGAGCAGCTGGCCTCCCTCCGAGCACTCCTTGCTGGACTATCCCTGCACTGGTGGATAACAAAGAGCAGTTTCTATTCCTCTCAACTGCACTATCAGTTGATGTTAGACCATTGATCAGTCAAGCAATATTTATTGTCTGCTCGATGCCAGGCAAGTCGGAGAAGGGCCAGAGGCAAAGATAAATATGGCATTATGAGGCAGTGAAGGACATGAGTAACAAGGAGATTAGAGGGATCTTACTAAGAGAAGGGGAAGGGAAATATTTCTGAACTCTCTGTTCTCTCACTGACCTACCTTTATGTTAAGACCACAGTCTTGATTAACATAGCTTGACAGTAAGTATTTAAGTATTATAATATTAAGCAGCCTAAGTTCTCCCACTTTGATCTTCACCAACACCAAGTCTTCTAATTTTTAGAAGATTTTTGGGGTATTCTAGATCCTTTGCGCTTCTATGTACATTTTAGAATCAACTTATTCATTTATAAAAAAGATAGCTAGGATTTTGATTGGGCCTACACTGACTCTAGGGGTCAATTAGGGGCGAACAGAAATCTCACCAACACCAAGTCTTCTAATGCATGAACAAAGCATGCCTCCCATTTACGTAAATCTCCTTTAATTTCTCTCAGAAGTGTTTTATAGTTTTCTGTGTAAAAGTATTTCATACCTTTCATTAGATTTATTCTTAGTTTACATTTTTTATGCTATTATAAATAATATTTTTAAATTTCATTTTTTGCCTTGGCCAGTGTTGCTAGGTAGTTAAAATGTCCACCCACAAAAGGGTCTCAGGTTCTATTCCGGTCAAGGGCACATACCTGGGTTCCAGGTTTGATCTCCAGCCCTGGAAGGGCACATGCAGGAAGCAAAGCAACCAATTGATATGTTTCTTTCACATAGATATTTCTCCTCTCTTTTCTCTTCTTCCCTTCTCTCTCTCTCTCTCTCTCTTCTCCCCCTATCCCCTGTCCCCTGTTACTCTCTCCCTTCCACTGTCTCAAAAAACTGATGGAAAAAATATCCTCTGGTGAATATTAACAACAAAAAATTCATTTTCCTATACATGAATGTTTATTTACAATACATCAGACAAAAGACTCCTACCCAGCTATGTAATGAAATGTAAGTCAAAACCAACAGTGACGTCATCAATAAAAATGGGCAAAAAACTTGGACAGTTCACAAAAGATGAAGGAATTGCCAATGAGCACATAAAAAAGATGATTAAGCCCTAGCTAGTTTGGCTCAGTGGATAGAGCATCGGCCTATGGACTGAATGGTCCCAAGTTTGATTCCAGTTAAGAGGGTCAATGATGGGAGAAAGGGAACACCTATAGTATTTTCAACAATAAGCATAAATTAGTCACAGGAAAATGCAATGTGAAACCATAGTGAGATATATTTCACACCCACTGACATATGGCGTGTTAACAAGGATGTGAAGTTTTCATCCTTTGCTGGTGGGAAGTGTAAACTGATAAACCACTTTGGGAGTTAATCTGGCAATAAAATACAGACCCAGCCTATGACTGCACAATTCTACTCCTAGACATCTACCCAAGAGAAATGAAGGACGGGTAAGAATGTCCGTGGCAGCCGTTCACAATGGCCCAAGGCTGGGCACAACTCCAATGGCCCTCATCCGGCGAAGACAAACAAGTCCGAGCGTGGCCACACAGCATACAAGGACCAAGCCACTCCACACGCCCAGGGGTTCTCTCCTCCCAAACACCAGCCAGGTTCCTCTGAGCCGTCTTCTCCAACAGGCTGTAACCTCGGCCTATCAGATGGACAAACACCAACAGTTTCTAAGAGCTCAAGGCCACAACCCCGGTGGCGCCAGTCCCACTTAAAGGGCCTGCGAGAATGCGAGGCCACCAGGAGCACAAACTGCGCAGCCAGCATTAAGGACACACCCCTCTCCAGGTAGCAAACCAGATGCTTCCCGTGGGCAACCCCTTCCTCCCTCCCTCTACTGCCTGCTCCCCCATCTCCCTAAAAACGCCCCCTGAGAGGCCGCAGGCGAGTTATTCACACAGGAATCTTCTGTTGCAATAGTTATTGCTGGCTAAAGCCTGACCTTACCACTTTAACAGTATCTGGCTTTATGTCTGAGTGAATCTCAACAAACATGCTGAGTGAAAGAAATTACAAAAAGAAGGCATACTGTCTGATTCATTCATATGAGGTTTAAGAAC